TGAAATTTGCATTAATGCGATTTAAAAATCAGACTGTAAGCAGAATGCAAAAGAATATATTTGACTTAAAAATTTAATTCATATTTAATTTTAAATTAAGTATATAGACATTATAACGATGTGATGTTGAATGATGAATTACCTGTTGAAATGAAGGTCTATCAGTTTAGGCAGTCTATTACCAGAAAAGACTAACTTGATATAACACTGAGGTGATCCTTATCTACTGCAGAAGCACCATTGTTTGCCTCCATGACACCAAGAAAAGTTCACAAATAAAGTAGACTTTAGAGAGGAAATGTTAGAATTGCGTTTCATCCATCCTGAACTTTGACTGGATACGACAGGTAAAGAGGTGATGAGAAAGTCAGATTTTCTCCTTGCCTACAGATGTGTTTTTTTATATAATCTTCATTACTCACCTGTCTTAAAACTTTCTTCTTCCCTCATCACCTTCCGAAACATCTGACTTTTCTTCTCATTTTCTCTCATTTGTTACTGTGTGGGTTATTTGTGAACAGTTCCTGACTCGGGATTTAGATTTTTATTCATTTATTTCGTTACCTGTTTCCTTGACCTAACACCGAGATGAACCTTAACTACTGCAGACACCACCATTACCTACTTCACTGTCTCTCTCAACGTTCTGGGGAATTCCTCTTGTACACTCACAGCTCGCCGGTGCACATATGAACCTCGAGTATAATCGCTTGTTTTTTTTTCTGGGGACTTCGAAACAAGAAATATACAACTGACCTGCGCCGAGGTGGTCCTCAGTTTTTCCAGACCGTTCATGAGTCGCTCGATCTTGGCCTGCAGGTCGTTGTGCTTTGCTCGGAGAAGGTTGGAATAGAGGGAGATGAAGCCTAGGAAGGTTTTGGGCGTTGTATAGTTGTATCGACGGTCGTTGCTGAGGTACAGGCGACTCATGTCATTGACGGATCCGTGGACGTGAGCCATGAATTTGGACACTGACTCTCGTAGGCCTTCCTGGAATTAATGAAAGGGAAGCTACAAGTTCATAGTGTTTTAATTTTGGTATTGCTATATAGTTAGTGAAAGGTCAGTTACTAGAAGATATTTTAACACATATAAACTGGAATAATTGTAAAATAAATTGATTTAAGGTTCAATTTTGTTAACATTTTCATGTTGCTACTGAGTTCTGTTCATGTTATACTAGTTGGCTTACTAGTTTTAAATCCTATCTGTACCGATATCGTTATTTAGCTACACGTTATTTAATACACATAAAATACATTAATCCCAAAGATAGAGGTTAAAGTAAATGCACTGAAGCATATGAACCCTGCGGTGAACTGAATATACCATGTGCCTACGTTGTCCTGCATGCGGCCAACACAAACCGCCTTATTGATCAGACTGTCAACCAAGAGATCTGGCCTGGAACTGGGACACCAGGGCAGTGACCCTTAAGAACTATCTACAGGTATGTACTACATCTGTTATTGTTACTTCTACCACTTCTGCTGCTACTTCTGGTATTTCTACTATAGCTGGAGTTTACCTGGAGAGGGTTTCGGGGGTCAACGCCCCCGCGGTCCGGTCTGAGACCAGGCCTCATGGTGGATCAGGGTCTGGCCAGCACGCAAGCTGATGTACGAATCACAGCATATGGATAATAAAAATATCAGTATGGTATCCATGGAAGGCAAATATCAGTTGTTGATTTACTGTCATTAATTATCCCAGAAGTAACTATAAGAGTAGGACAATTTTTCCCACGTCTTCCTTCAAGGTTATCACTTAAAACTTGAGAAGGTCTCATTCCATGGGTAAGAAATTTTCCATACGAGTTTACTCTAAACAGGGAAACTTCCTTACTACTATTGTCATTCACAGAGTCCTTCTGATCAATTTCAAATAGATCCTTCCCGGATTTACCTTCCGACCGATTATTTGAGAAAGTTTCTTCTGATCATCTTTAAACTTTCAAAAATTTTGAAACATGTTAAAATGAGAGGACTGTTATAAAGCTTGTTAGGGTCAATTTGCTAAATATATTTTTAAAATTATGCATCAATATTTTTCGCGGAATAATTTGACTATCGCTCTTCTGAACGACTTCACTTTAAATGATAAAACATTTCATGATCATTGCTATCAAACATATTGAATTGCATTTAAAAACTTTGGAGAAATTCTTCTTCTGATTAGCTTGAAATTTTCAATGCATTAGAAAAATATTCCACACTTTATAAAATTCCTTTTGCGTGAACTAAATTAGAGAGAGCTGGGATTATGGCAATTGTGGAAACATTTTTGGATCGTATAGCTTCCAAAATACATTTAGACTTTTTTGACTTCCTCAAAGATTTTTCTTTATAATTTGAAAACGATTGATCCGATCGGCTAAAATTTTCATTGATTGTATACTCTTACTAGAGAAAGGTTTATGCAACATTGCTAAGTGAGAAAGTTGTCTGCTTAATTTAACTGCATATTTCTGCTGTTGGCTGTTATGAGGTAACTTGACAAAGTCTCTTCTTTCCAGCAGCAAATTTTCAACAATGATGTGTCCTGTTTACAAGAAGTTTGGAATTATTTTTGGAGAGTGTTGGTGATGTGGTATATTTTTTTGTAGGTTATTTTGAGTATAACTCTTCTGAATATAGGAAGGATAATAAATTACAATTTTACTAGCCAAGTTAATAAATTTTTGATTGGTGGACTCGGAGCAGTAACTGGAGAAAGCCTCCTCTGAGCTGCTTCAAACTTTCAGTGATTGTGGACTTTATTCAAGACTTCTGCGCCAGCATTCGTCGGGTGTGCACGTCTCGTCCACACCCCAATGGAAATAAGTCACTCTGTCTGACTTTTTTGGGTTATCCTAGGTTCTCTACACATATGCTGCTATGTATGATAATTCTATGTAACTGTATTTGTGTATACCTGAATAAACTTACTTACTTACTTACTTATGCTCTCGCCTGAGTATCGGTGATAAATCTCCCCCGTTCTCTCTGGGACGCTTGTCCTCATCTATTTTGCCCGCCGGGCACTTTACAGGAGGGGCACCTGGTCATAATTCTCTAACAGTCTTTGGTGGGAAGCCGGTTACTGAACTCAGGTGGGGGTGTGGGGGGCCCGCTCTGCTGGGGCTTGACAAGGGGGTCCATCGAATCTAATTGGAAACTTCAAGTTTCTTTTTCTACTTAGAAAGGAACTTTTGTTCCTTTTCTTTCATGGCCCAGTTTTGGGCAACATATCGTGTCGTACCATCGGGAAGTCGGACTCGATACGGCCCTGATAAACCCAATTAAGAAATACTTTATTCAAGGGAAACTTTGTATTTATAATTGCTGTGTAATTAAATTAATTGGTATCTGCATTATATCAGGTGATTATCTCTCCTGACTGGCTGTATTGCTTCATAGTGGAGGATGCTACTTAAAGAATGGCTTGAATCCTTTATTGCTGTTGAAGAGATAATTCATCAGTTTTATTGAAGACGTTGGGAAAGTTCATAAGTTGTTTTTCATGACACAATTTGTGAATACCTCATCCACTCGGCTCAAAACATTTAACGTTGGATTTCATTTAGTGGTATAGATTTTTTTTTTTTGTTTTACTAAGAAATGCCTTGCGTACGATTATGCTGAACTCCTTTTCCCCTTAATTAACGGTTGAGTTATCACAAGAAAATAATGATATCTTTCTGGGCTATGATGTGAATGCACAAAGATTCCAGTTTAATACACAGTTAATAAATTTGAATTTGTTGGATTCCGTGAGATAACTGGAGGCCTCATCTGGTGGATTACAAGCTTCTAAACTTGTTTTTTTTTTCTCTTTCTCTTAAAAAGATGATTTGCAGTAATTTTGGATTAATAACTCTTAAGTTGACACTTTTACTACACAAATTTTTCATGCAATAACCTGCTTCCACCAATAAATTCCAATTTTGATCTGTGAAAATTCCAGTTTTAGCGAAGAAACTATTTCTCGTGTAATCATTAGTGAATTCCTCATCCATTTGACCTTAAAACATCAAAGTGATAACGTAAGAAACCAACTTCTGAGCGATTTCAAACTGAAAGTGCTGGTGTATTGTTTGCGTGCAGTGTTCAGTGTATTGTTTATATTCAGTGTAAGTATTGTTTATGTGTATTGTAAGTATTATTTATGTGCAGTGTAAGTACTGTTTATGTGCAGTGTAAGTATTGTTTATATGCAGTGTATTGTTAATGTACAGTGTAAGTAATGTTTGTGTGCAGTGTAAGTATTCTTTGTGTTCAGTATATATAATAAGGAAGGGATTTTGACTGGCTTTAAATTTTTCAGAGCTGAGCATCATATTCAACAGAACGTTCAAACTGGTTTTGGACTGTGTAGATGACAATTCCATTATTTTTTTTAATAGAATATTACTTTCCAAACAACAGCTTTTGTATGACTTCTTTGATTGGCTTTAAATATTGAAACAGGACTAAAAATTTCTCCGCACTCTGTAGATACTTGCTTTAGACCAGTGACCCCGGATTAGACCATTGACCCACCCCGGGGGGTGGGTCAATGGTCTAATCCGGGGGGGAAACATGGACTTGCTCCGCTTGGGTCAGTAGGCCTGTTGCAGTGTTCCTTCTTTTTTATGTTCTTATGTTCTTATGAATGTCTATTCTGATCAGTTTCTAAACTTCATTACTGATATTTAACTGCATTAGAAACTTACGGCACCTTCATATGTGTCTGGGTTATGGGATGTAGGAGATACCTTTTATTATCGTGCAGTGACCAAACAAGGTTTTATTACGTAACGTAAGAAAATCTGATGATTGGAATTTTGCTAACCCTTAGTAGAATATAAATGCGGAATGTTTATGGTATGAGAATATATAGAGGTATGGGTGTTTGTGGGAAACAATCAGACTGCAGTATTAGGGTTAAAAACAGCAGTTATTACCGGGATACCTCAGGGATATGTTTAAAAGACAATATTCAAAATAAAGTTGCTAGTAATGGCAAATCAACTGATCAACAAACAAAGAGAGATAGTAGAGGACAACGAGTGGCTAGCTCTCTTAAGGTTTACTATACAAATAGTTGGAGTCTAAGAAATAAGATAGATGAGCTAAGATTACTTGCAAGTGTAGGTAATACAGATATTATTGGTATAACAGAGACCTGGTTCAACCGGAAAGATAGAGAAATGCCAACTGAATGCAACATACAGGGTTATAAAATATTTCACACTGATAGGGTCAACAGGAAGGGTGGTGGAGTGGCGATGTATGTCAGAGAAAATTTAAATTGTTGTCTTAGACATGATATAAGATTAGAAACATCGAACACAGAATCTGTTTGGCTACAGTTTCTCGAGGGACGTGACAAATTAATTATGGGTGTGATTTATAGGCCCCCAAACCTTGATAGGGAGGGCAGTAAGCTGTTATGGGACGAAATTCATAAGGCATCTAGATATGAAAATGTTGTGATAATGGGAGATTTTAACTTTAGACAAATTGATTGGAACAATGTGACAGGAAATCTTGAGTCTAGTGACTTTCTTGATACGGTTCAGAATTGCTTTTTAGAACAGTTAGTGACAGAACCAACTAGAGGAAACAATCTGCTTGACTAGGTTCTTGCCAACAAAGATTCACTAATTAATAATCTTGAGATTAATGATGAGCTTGGGGAAAGTGATCACAAATCACTTAGTTTCAATATATCATGGAATTACCCAGATAACTGCAATCAAATCTCTGTCCCAGATTTTCGCTTGGCCGACTTCATGGGACTGAAAAATTACTTGGGTGGGCTAAATTGGGATGTCTTGACTATGGGTCAAGTAGGTGATCTTGGTTGCCAATATGACGTTTTTCAGAGCATATTACTAGCTGCTCAGACAACTTTTGTTCCGAGTAGGGAAATTAGATCTAGCAAAAATGATCCCAAATGCATGAACAATAGATTAAAACATCTCATTGGTCAAAAGAGAGGCATATATAGGCGTATCAAAAGAGGGG